GGTGGTATTGAAGTAGTTGTGTTTGTAGAAATAGCATAAGTAGGCAGTTCGTTGAAAATTTGTTTGCGTATGTATTTCAGGATTTCGGAGACGATCCAGTGGCGTCGTGTAAGGGAGACCGAGTTCATGACGTGCAACTGGGTGACGCGGAGGGCGGGGCCGTAGCCTCGTCAAGTGAAGCGTCGCAACCCTCGGGGGATGCGAGCGTGGCGAGCAGGACGGGGACCTTGACATCGGGTGCGGAGTCAAGTGGGATGAGAACGCCAGGAGCTCGCGGTGCATTGTCATACGCGGCGGCAGCACTGGCGAGTGCGGGTGTGAACGGCAGTCGGGGTGGTGGTCGTGAACGCAAGTCGTTAGGAGCGGCGATGACATCGAATTCGCCTCCCAAGCTGATGTTTAGTCTAGGAAGAAACCAGTTGAACCGGATGTCGACAATATTCCAGGCCATTCAGCGTCAGGCGGTGGTGGAAGAGGATGAGGAGGAGCGTTATGGGGGGTCGGAGCATGGCGGGGGCAGTGGACGCAGACTGTGGGATGAAGTGTACACAATCACGTACCAGAGGGCAGATGCGAACGGAGAGGCGTCGCTGTGCGTGAGTGGGAAATCGGCAGGCGCGAGTCCTCGGGGCAAGGGATGCGGGTCGGCGATGGACGGCTCGTGGCAGCAGGCGTCGCTTCTGGACAGCACGCTGCAAGGAGAACTGCCTTGTGACTTGGACAAATCGAACAACTCTTACAGCATTTTGTTGCTGCTGCGAGTGTTGGAGGGGCTGAACAGGCTGGCACCTCGTCTGCGTGCTCAGGGCGCATGGGAAGCGTTCGCCGCAGGAGAGGTGGATAGGGTGGAGGAGTCCCCAGGGGCGGGGCCGTTGGTTCCTCGGGAGGAATTTTTGAGCAGCAAGCTGACGCCAAAGTTGGCACGTCAGATGCAAGACGCGCTGGCGCTGTGCAGTGGTGGATTGCCTTCTTGGTGTGGGCAGTTGACTCGGGCTTGCCCATTTCTGTTTCCATTCGAAACCCGGAGGCAGTACTTCTATTCGACGGCCTTCGGGCTGTCGCGGGCGCTGCAGAGACTGCAACAGCAGCAGAACGCGGACGGGTCAGCGGCATCGAACGATCGGGAGCTGAGAGTGGGGAGGTTGCAGCGTCAGAAGGTGCGGGTGTCTCGACAGCGGATTCTGGAGTCGGCGGCGAAGGTGATGGAACTGTATGCGGGGCACAAGGCGGTGTTGGAAGTGGAGTATTTTGGGGAAGTGGGGACGGGGCTGGGTCCTACGCTTGAGTTCTACACTCTGCTGAGCCACGAGCTGCAGAAGGAAAAGCTGAATCTGTGGCGGTCGGAGATGAGGTTGAAGTCGGAGGCTACAGTGGGGGTGGAGTCGGCGGAGGTGGACACGATGGACGCGGACGTGGAGATGGTTGGGGAGGTGGAGGCGGTGTCGACGGGAGAGAGCGGTCGGGGGAGCGCGGAGGGGGAAGTGAGTTGCATAGAATACGTTACCGCTCCGCAGGGGTTGTTTCCCCGTCCTTGGCATCCGGATACGGACCCTGCGAGTAACAAGAATTACTGGAAGGTATTGGAGCACTTTCGGCTGCTGGGGCGAGTGATGGCTAAGGCGCTGCAAGATGGACGGTTGCTGGACGTGCCGTTGTCAACAGCGTTCTGCAAGATCATTCTGGGCCAGGCAAGTGGATTAGTGATGGGGAGACGCTGTTGGATATGGAGTGTGGTTTGCATGGGTTGGTTCGGGACGGTTGGTGTGTTCGAAAGTGGGGTTGTGAGTGTGTGGTTGTGGCTTGGTCACGGTAGCAGCATTTTGCAAGAGGCGTGTGTGTGACGCAGTTGATGTTGGTGGTTGGGTGCAGGAGTTGGACTTGTACGACATGCAGACGGTAGATCCGGACCTGGGGCGGACGCTGTTCGAGATGCAAGGTTTGATTCAACGGAAGCAGTTTCTGGAAGGTCACGGCGGGAAGCGGGAGGAGGTGGAGGCATTGAATTTTAGGGGGTCGAAGTTGGAGGACCTTTGCCTGGATTTCACTCTTCCTGGGTACCCTGAGTACGAGCTGAAGAGCAACGGTCGGGAGGTGGCGGTACGTGGAGAGGCTTGGACTGGGTGGTGATTTTTTTGTGTTTGAGGGGAAGCTGCAATGGACGTGGTAGGGGCGTGGATTGATTAAAGTGGGTTGCATTCACTTTCAGGTAGATCTGGACAACCTGGAAGAGTACGTGTCGATGGTGGTGGAGGCGACGGTGAAGGTGGGAATCGCAGCTCAGATCGAGGCGTTTCGAGCCGGTTTCAACCAGGTATAGTGTTGGTTGTTGATGGGTGATATAGAAGGCCGCGCAGCCGGGCCAGATGGATGCTCGTTTATACTAGTGGGGTGTTGTGATGGTTCTGGTGAGTTTATGGCTGTGATTGGGGTTTGTATAGGTGGTGCATGAGTGGTGGTGAATGGCATGTGGTTTTTGCAGCAGGAGGTGTGGGTGTCGGACAGGGTGTGTTGGGGTGATAGTGGGAGAAGAATTTGCAAGGGTTGATGGTAATGCTGAGTTGGATGCGAGTGTGCAGGTGTTCCCGTTGTCTTCTTTGCAAATTTTCAGCGAGGATGAGCTGGATTATCTGCTCTGCGGGCGTAGAGAGCTATGGGCGGTAAGATTGTGTGCGCAATCGCACTGTCGAGTGATGGTTTTGGTGGTGGAGTGAAGGGAGTGCATGGTTTGATGTGTTAGATGAGGTACTGACCTGATATTTGTGTGGGTCTGTGGAATGCAGCCGGAGTCTCTTCCGGATATCATGAAATTCGATCATGGCTATACTGCGTCTAGTCCGCCTATCCGAAACGTAAGTAGTTGGTTTTGCACGAATCTCTTACGAAATAGGTAGGTTGTGCATGGGGTTGGGGTGTGCATGTGTGTGTGGAAAGGATAAGGCAGGGCTGGGTTTTGGGAGTTGACATGAGGATGTTGGTGTGATGCAGCTGTTGGACATTATGAGCGAGTTGAGTCCGGAGGATCAGCGAGCATTTTTGCGGTTTGTGACGGGAGCACCGCGGCTACCTCCCGGGGGGCTCGCAGCATTGAATCCGAAGCTTACGATCGTTCGAAAAGTGGGTTTGGAATTGAGTTTTGTGAACGATGTGGTGCACATGCCAAGTGGGGTGTATGTGTGTTGGGGGGTGGGGGGGTGTTTGGGTGCGTCAAATGAGCCGAGATTGGAGCAGATCTGGGCATTTCATTGGGTGTGCATGAGAATGCTGTCGGTTGAAGCGGGATTCTGATTAAGAGGGGTGGTTGAATGGTTGGCAGCACCCGACTGACGGTAGCGGCGTGCCACTTGGTAGCACACCACCGGGAGCCTTAGCAGGGTTGGGGACCACGTTGGCGGACAAAGACCTGCCCAGTGTGATGACATGTGCAAACTACCTGAAGCTTCCTCCGTACTCGTGCAAGGTTAGGATGTTCGTGGTGGAAGTTGGTGCGGGGTTGCATTGTTTGGGGGTGCACGCGTGTAGCCTAGTTAGTTATGGGTGGAGATGAATCGATTTAGTTGTGACGTGTTGGCATGGTGAGTAAAGTTGGTACTGAATGGGTGTGGGTGATGTTCACAGGAGATCATGAGGAAGAGGTTGTTGTACGCGATCCATGAAGGGCAAGGGTCGTTTGACCTGTCCTAAAGATACAAGTGTTTAATTATTGGTGTGTAGCGTCTCAGATTTGAGACCGTAATTCGTGGAAGAAGTTAAATGGGATGCTTCGAGCGCGTTAGTTGACGTTATGGTAATGGAACGGTACTGTGACGCAGGAATGACTCGTTTCCAATCTAATGTATGTAGTGGACATTTAAGGTGGAGTGGTTTGCGGACGGTGCTGATGGTTTTTTTGGCAATGTGAGCACGACATGCGGTAGACATTATCTGGTAGTTGCATGGCCATCCAAATCGAAGAGAGATGCAGAGGCGTCTCGTTGTGCAGAGCAGCTTGTGTGGCTGTATGTGTCGCTGATTATGCAACCGCTAATCGGGGATTAATGAGTGTTAAGGTTAACAATGCTGGCAGGTCGTATGATGTGCTGGAGAACTGGGTATTCAGGATTTTTAGTTCAGAAAAATGGACCGGATAGTCAGGTGAAGGTGTAAGGAGTGATTTTCATTAAAGTGATTCGTTTTTTGATTGATCGGACACAATTTGGCGGAAGTATAACGATTGGTGTTTTGTTATGTATGATGTGATGTTTCCTTATTTTTTCTGAATCACTTTGGATTTTACATGTGTACTTTCCAGCGCATTAATTTGGTCTTTCTATTGGGCAGTTGTCATTTGTTGGCATCTTAATGAATTTGACAATGTCAGGTTTGAGAAACAATTTTGGCTGCCTTAATACTTGCTTACGAGCTGATGAGCACTTTGATCAATCGTTGATTCTAACTGCTTTTGTGGGAACTAAATTCCAAACTATCAGTATCGGTAGCAAAGCGAGAAAGGATGTTGAGATTGAGTTGCTGCATGCACTGGAAGGATTTTGTTTTGAACTATTGTAGGCACGTTGAAGTCAACATTGTAATTACGACAATCATAATATTCTCTTCTTCCTCTCCTTTTGAAACAAGGTATACCCATTGCCAAGCCTTCTTAGTGTAAGACATTTCACCGTAATCTAGGTCATCATCCTTAAATCATACCTTTTGATATTGGACAATTTACTTAATCTAGGATGACATAAGGTAGTTTTTGAAATTTAAATAGGAGCTTGTCCCTTTTGTACAATTCTAACAAGCACAAGTACTTAAGCCTTCTTTCATGTCCTTCATTAGTGTTGTACATTAAAAAATAAATGTTCTATACTAGAAAATTTGTATTTTACATTACTTAATACAAAACAGGGAGAATAATGTCCAACATTAGAAGGGTTTGCAAATTGCTTTGAGTGATGAAATAACAAAGAGAACACATAATTACAAGGTTTAAGTGTTATTAAATTTCCTAATAATACTATTTTGAAAACCTTATATATATATATTTGTGTACCTATTGCAGAACTACCTCTAGACTTACAAAGAGAGAAAGACAATGTTTTTGAAAATGGTGTTCATTTAAGACAACTCCAAATTTGTTGGAGCTAAATAAAGTTTGAAATTTTAGTATGCTTGCACTTGTGATAAAAGATTGCCAAGACAAATGTGGATAAGATGGTGCAATAATGAAAGAAGTGTTGCCTACAATAGAATTGAGGACAAAGATAGGAATAAAATAAGAACATTTGTACTCTACGAAGGAATATGTAGAAGTTAAGAGTTGAACTTAACATTCCATGCACCTTTGCTGCCACCCTATCTACTATATTTAGCATCTCTAGTGCTTAAAGATACATTTGAATAAATTTATATTTAAACAAAGAAATTTTGTGCCTCTTCTTATTGCCTATATATTGTTTGCTTTGTGCACTAGGGCAATGACTACAAGCAAGGAATAGAAAGGAATGTGCCATGTAGATAATAACCTATAGAACATAATTCATCAATAGACTCTAGTAGAAGGGAGTTCAGCAGAATTGCATTTAGAAAAGCTACAATTGCCACATTTACTTGGATTTTGTTTTGGCATCAATCTTTATATACAAATATTATCTATCATAATTTTTTATTAAGTTAAATTTTAATATGTTAGTTTCTATGCAATGTGTTTGTAGCATTTACTATCATAATTGATATACATAGTTTAATCTTAACTTGTCCTATAATTTAGTTATAAATTAGATTTATTTTATTTATTATTTTAAAATTACAAGATAATACAAGGTTAGTGATGCATATTAGCATTAGTAATACTAAACACTTTATTTCAAATTAAAAATATATATATTTTAATTTTTTATTTGAAGTATTTTGTATTTTTTCTTTTAAAGTGTTCTTTTATCTTTGATAAATTCTCTTTGTTTTTGCTCTTATTTAGGATGACATTACTTCTAAAAAAATTTAAATTTACTTGTAATATCTGTAATACATATAGTCAAGATTTTATAACACACTTTTCAAGATGATTGTTTGAGCAATTAATTTTTTTGCAAGGATTTGAAGAAATAGAGTAGCTAAGAAGTGTCTATAATAGCAAAAGAATTTATAAAGATAGGATGAATTTGTAAAGGTGGAAAGTATGTATCTATTCTATCTAGATTTTACTTCAAATTTAATTTTTCTAAACCAAAATATTTTATTATTGTAAGGTTTTGTAGCAATGTCAATAAATTTTATTGACCATCATATTGATGTTTATATACCTTAGAAGCTTATCTTATAGGTTAAGAATTATTGCACAATTGAGTATATATATGCATCTTTTTATTAAATATAGATGTTTTATATAAGCATATTTTATTATTATTATAAGAATTGAGTCACTTACTCATTTTTATTATTTTTATTATATATAATAATGTTATATACTACTATAAATGAATTTAAATAAATTTATGTAAAGTGAGTATTACCAATGTGCAAGTATTTAAAACCAAGTGAGAAGTACTTTGAATCTATTTAATCAACTATTTTAGGAGCTATAAATTGGTATTAAATTTTAAAGTAGTGATGTCATTGAGTGGGTTAATGAAAAGAGTATGTGTTTAAAGATAGGTCATAATTTAGATAATTTTTTGCTAATCATATTCCATGTGTATAGACTATGTAAAAAAATTCCATTTTGATATGTGGTGTAATTGAGTTTTTAGTCAATATATAAATGTAAATTATATTTAATATGCTTGTTCTATAAATATTAATATTATAAACTATGTATATTTCTAGATGAATTATATTCACTTTTTATTTGTATAAGTATTTTTTTTCATATATCTTTATGACATGTGACATAAGATGGAATTTTAAGCAATTTATAAAAAACCTACAATGTTATTCAATTTAAATTATAATTTTTTTGTAATTTATTTTTTTATTAAGTGAAATTAGTCGATTTTTTATTTTATCATTGGATACCAATAAAATAATATTTCAAAAAATAAGATCAAAAGAAATAAATATAATTTTTTCAGCATATGTTGTGCTTAACATTGTACATTCATTATAAATTGTAAATTATTTCTAAAGACATGCCAATAATTTTAAAATTTTGTTTTGGTATTTTGGTATTTTTTTTAATGCATTTTATATGAATTGATTAACATATCAGTTATTATAGTTTTCTATTTATAAAGTTTTAAATAAATAAATATAATTAATAATATATATCAAAGTTATTATCTAAATGTTGATAAAAGATATTAGACAATTGTATTTGGTTGATGTCTAAATTTTTAATAAATAATTTATAGTAATTTCAAATTGGTATTAAAGCTTCAAATTAAAAAAAAATATAAGAATAAATAAATAGATAAATAAATAGAAGTATCATTTTAAATATTAGATATTTTTTTAGAATGTTTAATATTAAATTACTTAAATAAAGTGGTTTTAATGGTGTTAAGAATAAAAACTCAAAGAATGTACATAAATAAGTGAGACATATATCAAAAAAAGATAACAAAAACAAAATAAGAAGGTATGTATATTTAAGAAGAAATTGAAATGGCTATTGGTGAAAACTAAAAAACTATAGACTCTTGAAATTAGACTAGAAGTAAGAAAGAAGTTAATAAAAGTGAGGAAGACATCATTCTTACCTCTATATGTACTATCTAACTTAGAGCTATGTGGTGAAGTTCTATAGGATTTTTGATACATATCTAATATGACAAGTTTTTTATATATGTCACATGGCTAAATTGTACCACAAGTTTTTAGCCTATCAATCACCCACAAACATGTATAAAGTCAAATTTTCTTTTATAAAGCTTCTCTACAAAATTTATATAATTTATTTATTTGTACTTATTTCTATCCAATTTCTCTTATTTAAGTAAATATTAGAGTCAATGATATCCATAACATTATCTCTTCTTGTCGAGACAAGTTCTATAAAGAGTGGTGATTATATGTTGAAGAAGTCTAAAAAGTAAGAAATTAAAATTTTCATACTTTGATCTTTATTTCTTTTGAAGATAGTTAATAGGTCCTCTCAATTATCAATAATGTCCTTACAAGTGTAGAAAGACTATCCTATTATTTGATCATTTTTTAGGCCTTCATAACTTTTTTCAAATAAACATTTTAAACTTCATGAAAAGTGGTTTTTACTTCCAATAAAATCACCAAACATTAAAAGTTTCTTCCAGAGTTGTAATACTAGATGTGTTATATCTTACCATCTATTCAAAAAAAACATATTGTTATTAAAGGACTTCATTTCTATAATGTTGTTTCAAAAGTTGTAATAATTTTAATGTCTCGTTCCGTTGAATTCAACAAACAATAGTTCTTGATTTGAATCTATTAGTTGTTGATTTTTTATATCCATAGCACTTCAAATAAAAAATATATATATAAATAATAATAAAAGATAGAATAAAATCTTCATTAAACGTGTTGTATTATGTGGCAAAGAATTACTTGAATTTTTATCTTATTTTTAATAGATGTGGTCAATAAAAAAAATATTCAAATTCTTTACTATATTTTTAATTTTTTTAAATAGCTTCTATTTAAGTTTGATAATATCATATCCACATTAATGTACAAGATATTTCAACCTACTTTGGCACAACCTTGAATATAAAACTTCTTGTACCTCAAATTTTTGATGATTGTCTATTTCTATAGGAAGAAGTGGTATTTGTATTCTTCTTGGTATATTTATTATTTTACATGGCTCAAAAAAAGATACATCAAATAAATAATGGATTATTATAAGCTCTATTAAGTATAGCTAATATACAAGTCAATTGATTTATTTATAAATAAAAGGATAATTTAAGTTTATAATAATCTAACTTTTCATAAGAATAAACTATCTTAATATTGTAAAAAAAATAATCATATTTTGTTGCTAATGTAGAATTGAAATTATTCTTTATAATAGACATGTTTATTGATCTTTTGTTGTTCTAGAGGTTCTTTTAGTTCTGCTTTTATTATTACATTTAGTTCTAATAAATAATTTTTTAAATATTTTGTATCAAAATTAATAATTTTTGCAAAGTCAGTATCAAATTATGGATGATAACCATCAAATTGGTGATTATTGAGTAGAAAAAGAAAATGAATTATTATAAGCAAGCTTTGCTAATGACAAAAGAGTT